TTTAAGTTTATTACACTTCATATGTGATCCTTTGTGCTAACTCTTTTATCAAGAAGAAGTTATAAAGATAGACTTAATTATTACTATTGTAATACCAGAAGTATAAGAAATGAAATAGATGACTTTCAGGCACTGGTAGGAATGGAGAATTTTGATATAATGGGAATAACTGAAACATGGTTAAGTATAGATGATTTTGATGACAGAAATTTCTTTGAAATACAGGGTTACAGAATATTTAATTGTATAGAGTATTAAAGAGAAGGGGAGGAGTGGCTTTATATGTAAAATGTGTGTTACATCCTGTTGAAGTTGAGGATATCAAAGAAAATACAAAAGGGATTAAATCCAGTTGGGTTTCTATTAGCAGATATAAAAGGAAAAATATTTTAGTGGGAAGTTAGTGACCAGCAGATGGTACTGATGAATTTAGTGAGAACCTTTACAATGAGATAAAGATTCAGCTGTTAATGAGGTCATAATTATGGGTGATTTTAATATAGACTGGGAAATGCTAGTCACACCATGAGGGAAAGAGGTTTTGGAAACTGTTCAAGATAAATACATTCCTTATAAAAAGAAAAGGGTGGCTGCAAGTAAAAAACCGAGTTGGGTCACAAAGGCTATATAAAAGCATCACAAATTTAAGAATTTTATATTGACTGGTATGACAGGATATTTAGAAGATTATAGAAGATCAAAGAAATTTGTCAAAGAGGAAATTAGAGCATCAAAAATGATATTTGAAAAAAAGGTTGGCTGAAAATGTAAAAATTAACAGTAAGGATTTCTTTAAGTACATTAATGGTAAACAAATGTTAGGTTTGGGATAGGACACTTGAGGGATGATAAAGGAAGTCTTGTACCTGATGATTATGAGATGGCTAGGTTATTAAATTTTGCTTTTTCTTCAGTTTTTATTAATGAAGATTTAAGCAGTATTCCTCATCTTGAACAGTTAATAGATGACAACAATATGCATTAATTCGGAGCTTTTTAAGAACAAATTGGAAAGTTTAAAAAATGATAAGGCTTCTGGGTCAGATAATATTTCCCCAATGGTTTTGAAGTATGTTAAGGATTAATATGTGAACCACATGCTACTATTTTTGTAAGTCCTTGAATAGTGGGCAGATGCCAAAGGATTGGAAGTTAGCTAATGTCACTCCTCCTTTTAAGGGAGGTAATAAAAATTGGCCCAGTAATTATAGGCCTATTAGTCTTACATCTATTGTGGGAAAAGTTTTGAAAAGTCTAATAAAAGATGCTTTGCAAAGTCATTTAACAAAGTTTAGAATTTTATCTGATAGTCAAAATAATTTCACTAAGAGAAAATCTTGCTTTAAAATTCTTTTGACATTATTTAAAAAGGCTTATGTAGAAGAGAGTAAAGGTATAGATTTGATGTATTTGGATTTTCAGAAAGCATTTGACAAAGTGCCACATAAATGGCTTATAAAAAAAATATCTCTTTAGGTATGGGGGATAAGTTAGCTAATTGGATAGAAGGGTTGCTGTGGGTTATTATAAATGGAGTTCAGCCAAACCAGATTTATGTCACAAGTGGGGTACTTCAGGGCTCAGTCTTAGGACCTTTGCTCTTTTTGATTACTTCAATGACATAGATGAACGAATGGTCAATAAGTTACATAAATTTGCAGGTGATATTAAGGTCTTGGATGTTGCTAGCTGTGAAGAAGATGCTGCTGATTTTCAAAAGGATTTAGATCATTTGGTGAGTTGGGCACATAAATGGTAGATGGGTTTTAATTAAAATAAATGCAAGATAATGCATGTGGGTTATCATAATTTAGATTAAAAATATAATTTGAATGGGAATAACCTTAACAGTGTCATAAAAAAGGGATCTTGGTGTAATGGTTGATCAGTATTTTAAGCCATTCAAGCAGTGTGCTGTTGCTAGTGGTAGGGCAAATAGGATTTTAAGTTGTAGCTACAGAAATATTGAATACAAGTCTAAAGGTTATAATTTCATTATATAGGTCACTGGTTAGGCCACAATAGGAGTGTTGTCTTCAGTCTTGGGCTCCCTACCTTAGGAAGGACACTGAATTGTTGGAAAGGGTTCAGAGAAGGGTTACTAGAATGATGCCTGGGATGGAAGGGTTATCATATGAGGAGAGATTAAGATATCTGAAACTGTTTTCTCTTGAAAAAAGAAGAGTTAGAGGGAATCTGACTGAGGTGTATAAAATTATAAAGGGAGCTGATAGTATTGATGCATCACCTTTTTTCATATTTAACAGTGAGAATAGTAGAACTAGGGGACACAAGTATACATTTTGGCAGGGTAGGAGTCATCTTCAGCTAACAAAGTTTTATTTTTCTAAGAGGGTGGTTGGCCTTTGTAACTGGTTGCTTTCAGATGTTGTGTGGGCAGTAAATTTAAGTGACTTTAAGAGAAAGTTTGATAACTATATGAATGATATGGGTTGGCTTTAAGATTTTTATTTTATTTTATTTATATATACATAGTTTTAGTTTAGTTTTGAGGATGGGATGGTCGAGTTTGTCAAATAGGTCCCTTGTTGTCCCTAAACATTATGTTAAATATTATGTTACTTCCACCTCTTTTATGATGGATGAATACATGCATTTTAATCATATGACATTTATCATGCCCGCCATTGGCACAGCAGTATGTCTGCAGACTTACAACATTAGAAACTGGGTTTCGATACCCGTGGTGGGCAGAGAACAGATAGCCCATTGTGTAGCTTTGTGTTTTACTTCAAACAAACAAACAAACATTTATCATACATCACATATTACTAAAGAATTAATAATATTAATATTAGTGTCCAATTTTTGTTAGAAGTGGGGGAGCAGGAGAGTCCTGAACCCCTCCAATAAAATAACTTACTTTATTGTAACTTGCAGCTACTACTGAAAATAATTCAAACAAAATTGCAATTTAATATAACACAGATGTGTTAGAGAAAAAAATCAGTCTCACTGTATTTTAACTTCATACAGTAAATTATTAAGCTAAACACAATTTTCAATTATATTTTTTAACTGGGAACAGTCATATTTTAAAATAATCACTATATACAATTAAATGTTGGTTATTTCTTTAACACATCTGTCTTATTGAAAATTTACACAAGTGTCATGTTAATCTTAATTAATATATTACAGTTTACAAATCATAGATTCATGGAAACAGGACCTGTAACCCCTTATTTTTAGTAAACTTTCTGAAACGTTTTTTTTTTCTTTCATGATTGAGCCCCTCCAAAATTTACTTGTTTCTTCTGCTACATTCAGTGTAACAGCAGAAACTCCATAATCTCAGCAGTTTCAGAAGACAAATATTCTTTCATCAGTGTTTGTTTAACTGTGAATCATACATTCTCGGAAATTATGTTTTCAAAGTATCATCAGAGATATCTACCTCACAGAAACCAAAGTTTATAATAATGTGTTTTCTTGGTAATGATCAGAATAAACCACATAAGAATAGTCCTCTTCTTCAATTTACAATAGATCTTTATGGTTTCACTTGTATTAGATAACTCATTATATTTCTAGAATGGACTTACCAACCACTGTAACATAAACAGAAGCAGAATCTCTTCCTGAACTATTCATAGCCATTACTGTATACTGGCCACTGTCAGATCGAGTAGTTCGTCGAACAGTTAGTTTGGTATTGTACTCTTCGTTTTCAATTTGCCTATGTTTATCAGGCTTGAGAATGTCATCATTCAGGTTCCATGTTACTGTAGGAGGTGGTTCACCAGAAATATTGACATCAAACTTGATCAAAAGTCCAGCTTTAACAGTCACATCTTTAAGGTTCTTTCGATCAATGACGGGAGCCACTGAAACATGTATATATTGTTATGAATATTTTGAAATTATGCACTTTTATTACAATAATAACATTTAAAGTTCTTAAATAAACAAAGGTGAAGTGGATAGCAACTTCTGTCTTTCAAAATGTCTTCCCTTCCATCTCTGCTACTTGAACTAGACAGCTGCTGCTCATTTGGATAGCAACATTCGTCTTTCAAAATGTCTTCCTTTCCATCTCTGCTACTTGAACTAGATAGTTCCTGCCCATTTGGATAGCAACATTCGTCTTTCAAAATGTCTTCCTTTCCATCTCTGCTGCTTGAACTAGGCCACTTCAACTTTGTTTATTATGAAGGCTCTGCCTAAATCATCTATAAATGAATATTCAATGCTGTTTTTGTTTTATCTGAAGCACATAACCTTTAAACTATCAACAAATTTGGAAAAAGAAAGTTTAAACATTAAACATTTTACAGGTATACAATATCACCATTTCAAACAAATACAAAATGTAATTTTAAACCAATGTATCTATAATGTATAAATAAACTTGCAATACAAAAAAGAGAAGAATTGTTACTCTACTTATTCTACTTTTAAGGAGTAGATTATGAAAATTTTAGGTTATACAGCCAAATCCCAGTTACAATGTTACATGAATCACAGCTAATTTCTAGTTATAATATAATATGAATAAAGCTATTTCTCAGTTAGTGTTATATTATTTTCAGCCAAATCCTAGTCATAATGTTATACTAATCATGGCTAAATCAAAAATGTATCTTAAATGACTCAGATTAACCTTGATAAAATAGAACTAATGTGCATAAATCTGAAAGACAGTAATATAATAAGCTATGTTAGGTTAAAAATGGCATGATTTGATCCTACTAACATAAAAGGATGCAGTACGTACACCTGAAAAACAGTTAAATAACAAACCAAGTTACAAAATTCTTAAAGCACTTACAGAAACGAGGTTTGGCAACAACTGGTTTTGAAGCTTTACTAGGTTCACCAGGTCCAGCCTTATTAACTGCAATCACACGGAACTCGTACTCTTTTCCCTCCTCTAGGAAAGGAGCAGTTCCTTTACACACATCTCCTGGTACTTCAGCAGCTTTCTCCCATACTGAACTGCCTTTCTTACTCTTTTCAATAATGTAATGAGTAATGGGGGTACCACCATCTCTGTCGGGAGTCTTCCATTTTAGATCTACGTGGTCTCTATTCCAGTCTGTTGCTTCAGGACGTCCTGGTTCACCAGGTGGATCTAGACCAGAATAAAGCATTTTCAATTATATCATTTTATATTCTTTTTATACCTGTTTCTTAAGTTTAAAGTTGAAAAGTACCAGCTTTTTGGAGTAATAAATCACTCAAAGTTGTCATAATTTAAAAGAAAATATATCCTTGAAAACTTGAATTGAGCTTGTTACTTAACACAGTACTCTGATCTGAGCTACAAACATATCTCCATGAAAGATAGAAAACTTGAACTGAGCTTGTTACTTAACACAGTACTCTGATCTGAGCCACAAACACATCTCCATGAAAGATAGAAAGCTTGAATTGAGCTTGTTACTTAACACAGTACTCTGATCTGAGCTACAAACATTTCTCCATGGCACAGAAAACTTGAATTGAGCTTGTTACTTAACACATTACTCTGATCTGAGCTACAAACGTATCTCCATGAAAGATAGAAAGCTTGAATTGAGCTTGTTACTTAACACAGTACTCTGATCTGAGCTACAAACATTTCTCCATGGCAGGAAATAATAAATTGTTCAGACATTTGCAGACACTATAAGTAGTCATATGCATTGTACAATGTGATGATTGTGACATGCCAGACACCACTGATGCAGCTTTTAACAAATGGTCTTTCATTCGGCTAAGTAACTTGGGAGAAGCTTGTGAAATGGGCTCTTGTATGATTTATGTAGAACTCAACCCATATGAATTACCTTGTTTACATCTCCAAGAGAAGTTTCTACTTCAGCTGGAACAGACTTCTGGTGAAAAGCTGTTTAACTTTTTTTCACTACTTCTGGTGTGCAGCTGAGAGCTAGACATGTAGTAGCCTATTTTCTTACTCTTGCTTTACCATTACTGGTGAACACAACAAATATCCCTTTCCTCAAAATGTTAAAATAATTAAATAATCATGGAGTAGGAGAACATTGTGCCAGAAAGTGATGTAATCCTCCACAGTGGGTCAATTTTAGGTCCGTGCTACACTTGAAAATCATCACACCTGACTTGTAACAAGAGGATGAAGACTTTTAATGTGTAGGTCACAGACCATGGGAATGGCCATAGAGGTGATTGAACATGCTAATTGTCACCAGTAACTGTGAAAAACCATAAGCAATTCATATGAAAACACTAAACAATATAATTAAAAGGATTTAGATTGCATCATATATATAGGTTTTTTTATAATTTCAAAACTACTACAAATAATCACCAGTAAACATGAAAGCTTATTCTGACTCTTTTTACATTTCTTAGTAGAAAACACATTGGTATGTCACTTAGCATGAAAAGTATCCTTTTCATATTTTCTTTAATCTTTGTACAGTTTCTGTGTTTATTGCAAGTAAATGAGTAGTGCACCAACTAATTTTTTTTATTTACAATATACTGGCATGCAAGTGCTTTGGATTTACTTTGATTAAACTTTTAATGTATCATCTATGGTAAACATTTTGTGTTATAATGGAAAACTCTACAAGGATGTGATTTCCCAGCCCCTCAGTGTAAAGCCTGCACTAGTAATAACAATTACCTAACAGGTCAGTTATACCTATTCATCTACAAAGTACTTTTATTAAGAAAACCAATGTCAACAAACTGTGTAATCTGATATGTTTTCTTTCCCAGAAAACATATTTCACCAAGTTACCAACTGTATCTGCAGTTGTCATCTTTAAACAGATGTCCTGAACTAACAGAACACAAGATGTCTAAAATTAAAATGTAAATGAAAAGAGTTAGAGTTGTTGAGAATGATATGGCAAGTAAGGAATGTTCCAAATAAAATCTTAGTCGGACAGAAGCTGCCTGTGGATGAAATGCCAGGAAATCCATAAGTTGCTTTCAATGAGAAATAGCCTGGATATGTAATGCCATTGACTCCACCCACCATGGAGACCTACAAGAAGAACTACTACACTATCATACCAGTACAGTGGAGCCACACCAGGGTTTCCTGGATATTATACCCAAACACCAACACCAAACATAAAATCCACAACACCTGTTGAGGATGTCCAATAGTGGCAATTGGTTTACTCTAGCCACATAGGACTAGCCTAATGACAATCAAAGAGCCACCTGAGGCCATCTGTCTACAGGAATCCAAGGCCAAAGTGGTATATTGCAATGCCCCCAACACCAAATTACCAGGGTCCTCTCCTCCCATTCATAGGTTGCCATGCACAGCAAACACATAGGTAAATGTCTGTATCCCAGAGAGGATAAACTGTACAAACAGAATGCTCTCTAGGAAGTCCTCTCACCAAATACAGGAATCCATGTCAAAAGGATTGTTAAGGGAATTGATAGTGTTGATGCACCATCTTTATTCATGCTTAATGGTGAGAATGGTAAACTTTGGGGACACAAATATGAATTTTGGCATGGTAGGAGTCATTTTCAGTTAAGACAGCTTTAATTTTTCTAACAGCGAGGTTTGCCTTTGGAATGGGTGGCCTTCAAATGTGGTAGATGCAGTTAATTTAAGGAAGTTTTAAGGAAGGCTATATATATATAGGAATGATAAGGGCTGGGTTTTAGTGTTTTATTTTAATTTTAAGTATCAGTTTAGTGGATTGGATGGTCTAGAAAGACTAACAAATATTTTGTCCTTAAATTATACGTATATATGTGTGTGTGTGTGTCTATACAAATATATATGTTTATATATTCTGTAGCCTTTGTTTGGTGAGAAGTAATCTGAACATGTAATAACAACATTTCATTAATTTTGTTTCTGATTTTACTCACAGCAGATAGAAGAATCTAAAATGTAACACTTTATAAAACAAATTTTGACTCACCGTAGGGATCTTTAATGACAATGGGAGCTATAGTTTCCAGAGGTTCTGATTCTCCTTCCTTATTCACAGCTTTAACTCGGAACTGGTGAGACTTTCCTGGTGTTAGCCCACTAGCTTCAGCCTCTGGAACATGGCTCTTACAAAGATGCCTCCAGGATCCAATATCTGGATCCAGTTTTTCAACAGTATAATGGTCAATAATCTCTCCTCCATCATCTTTAGGCTTATTCCATTGTAATTTACAACCATGCTTATGGATGTCACTAACTTCCAAGGGACCTTCAGGTTTTCCTGGTTTAGCTAAAACATTAAATCAACGAAATTAACTTTAGAAATTCATTTAAACTGGCAACATCAAAGATCACAAGTCAGTACTATAAAATGACTACAAGAACATTTAAAATATTTTTCAACTAACCAAAAACACATGCACCACTGCTTTTATGTGGTGAACAGCTAAAGCTTTTTATAATTTTTTATCTCAACACAATTAATGAAGAACAAATCATGTTTTTTTACATAAACAAAATAACTAATAAGATCAAAGATCTAGTATTATAAACTTTTAAAAATGATATAAAGTAATGTTTCAACGAGCATTATTTCTTACATTACACTATCAAACAATATATTAAAACATATTCAACAAACCCAAGACAGTAACTTCAACTTCAGCTTCATCTTGGCCATACTGGTTGACTGCTACTATGTGGTAGATTCCCGAATCCTTCCGCTGAGACTTGTCACAAGTCAGTTTACTATTGTATGGAACATTTGTGATGGTTATATTAGGTCCTTCTGTCACAGGTTTGTCCTTAAGTTTCCATGTGACTGTTGGAGATGGCTCACCAATAATCTTAACGTCATATTCAAATGGCTGGCCAGCTTTAATAGTGATTGGTCTCAAGCTACGTCGTTCAATCTTAGGGAGTACTAGAAAAGACAATTTATTATTAAATTCGTTTCTTTATATACATATATATATATCACTATCAAATGACATAAAATCAAAAAGCTTCTATGATTTAAAAAAATACATTACCTATTTTACTTACGTTCATGTAGCTCAAAATGTATTTTTGTAGTTTTTAAAACATTCACAACAGATAGTGTCTCCAGAGGCTCAGCAGTAAGTCTGAGAGCTTGTAATGCTAAAAATCAGGTTTTGATATTTGCAGTGGGCACAGAAAAATTGTCCAATGTGTAGCTTTGCACTTAACACAAGAAACAAACATCAGATTGTGACAATTATGGTAATGTTATCAAACTGGGTCTAGAAGACATATAATAGTAAGTAGAGTATTTATATAAACTGTAATAAATACTTTACTTATTCTTTTACATAAACTGAGTCTTTCAAAATAAGATGGTCAGATTTAAATTCCTTTCAGAACATATTCCTATACTTTTAATAAACTATAATCAGGTCAGTAACAACAAGATTTATACAAAATATAAATAGCAATAAAGAAAAAGGGTATATTTGTCAAACACCACAAAATTTATTGTAAATACCACATATTATAACCCATGTTTCTGTGAAGATTACTCTTCAGCAATCATAGCTAGTTGGAATAAAGAGTGACCAAAGCTAAGTATTCTAGTCTGGTGTAACAAATTAATGAACTTATAAAATGTTTTGTAGAGATAAATCAGTATTATATCAACCCATTCACTGCAGCTGGGACATATATTTCCAGTGCTCCCCCCCACTGCGACTGGGACAAATGTTTCCCATTGTCGATGCTATTTATGACTTCTTTTGCTGCATTCAAGTTCATCATCTTGACTATCATCACTAGATGGAGAGCTAGCATCCTCTTATCTCATTACCTCTTCATCATCATCATCATGCATTTGAACACCACTTGACTCACTTTCACTATCTTCTAAGCTATCTGAGTCAAGTACATTAAGCATACTTAAACTGTAATTAGGTTTACTACCCGCCACTCTAGCAGTGGTGGCACTTAGCTGTATATTCTGCTTAGGCATCTTGTTGGTTACTGTGAGGCCGAGTGGAAAACATTGAGGAAAACCATATATTAACATTTGGTGGGATGCCAATAAATATTTTCCAACTATTTCACTCCCATATGTCATGTGCTACAATTTTGAATGACAACAGGAAACATTTGTCCCAGATGCAGTGTGAGGAGGTGGGAGCACTGGGAAATATATGTCCCAGCCACAGTAAAAGGGTTAAAACAAGTAAGTTAATGAAATTCAAACCAATTACTTAATGATATTAAAACCAGTAACTTAATGAAATTAAAACAATTACTTAAAGATATTAAAACCTGCAATATAATGCTATTAAAATCACCAATGTATAGATAATAGAATTAGTAACTTAATGACATTAAAACTAGTTACTTTATCATATTAAACTAGTAACTTAATGCATACAATATGAAGCTATAGTAGCACTTATGAATGAAAACAAATCCTTACATTTTCTAGGCTTAGCAACAACTGGTTTTGTGGTCTCACTTGGGTCACCAGGTCCTGCAGCATTTACAGCTCGAACACGGAACTGGTAGGTGTCGCCAGGAATCAGATCTTGTACGCGACCTTCACACACATTACCATCAATTACTGCTGCTTTTGCCCAGCGTGTTTCAAACTTTTCTTTTCTTTCAATTATATAACTCTTTACTGGAGCACCACCATCTTTGAAAGGTGGAGCCCACTTAAGATCCATATGTTCTTTATCCCAGTCCTTAATTTCAGGTGTTCCTGGTTGACCTGGAGGATCTTTGTTATAGATGAAAAAGCTTGGTTTGAGTACTATACATTCAAATATGTTTTAAAAGACACTATGATCTTAAATAACAGGTAATCTACTATTACACCTGAAATCTAAAAAGTAATATGAATTATGAAACATTTAATAATTTTCTTAAAATCTTATTCTGTTCTGTTCTTATAATATTTAAAGATTCAGTAATATAGTGTTTTAACTATGAAACTGCTACAGAAGTTATAATTTTCCTGTACTGAAAATGTATTTCCAATAGCTCCCCTCACAAGATTAGCTATTCTCATCCAGTGCTGCCCTTTATATGCAAATTTTTTCTTTATGCATGCCACAAGCCTTCTGCTACCCCCCCCTATTGGAATCAAATGATTCCAACATGTCTCTCATGTAAATCATCATGTGTCAGTTCTCCACCATGACGCATGTGACTCCTTCTATACGCCTCTACCGAACCATCAATTTAAGGTTTGCAGAAGACTGGACGAAAGTGGGAAGTGTGAGGGAACTACCTATTGGAAATACATTTTCAGTATAGGAAAATTATAACTTCTGATACTGTACTTCCCTCCGCTCACAAGATTAGCTAGAATCACACATGGATTAGGAGATGGGATTGGTGTGAGGGAATGATAGAAGTACCCCCCAAAAGCATCCCAAGGATACCCCTTGAAATGAGAGATTCAGATCTGAAGATATGATAAGAGGAACCACACCACTTCTGAACCAGGTATACTCTTCACCCATCCATGATATGTGTAGTAGATAAGGGTGGAAAATAGAGAAGCACATCCAAGTGGGAGAGAACTGTGGCAGGATAATGATCCTAACCATGTAAATATATATGTAAATAAATCCCACAAACTATAAAAGTGAGTAAAACAATGGATGTGTCCCTAGGTGTAGAGTGGCTAGGGCACGACGGACCATACTCGATAAGTCAACTACATCCAAAACCCATGCTGCTGGGAACTGATATCCATGTGGGGGGAGGATGAGGATCATACCATCTTCACCTCAAGTTCAAGAGACTGGGGGAATTTATAACCACACTGACTCCTGAGCATGATACATGTTAGCTTTGATCTATCGATCCAGGGACCTGACATCCGGTATCAAAAGATGTCTATAATATAAATCAACTCCCCCAACAACAAAACTGACCGAAACCATCCAAAAAAGCAATAACATCCTTGGAATATAATACATGGAAAGATAGCAAAAAGGACAGAACCAGAAAAATCTCCCTTACCTTCACTGTGACCCACAACACAGAAAGTGTATGATCAAGGGAGGAACATAGACAACCATAAACATGTGTAAGGGCTTATGTTTAATGGTTCTATTCTAAATCCAAAACCCAGCCACGGGATATCGACATCCACGCTGGGGTAGGATGGAGGCTCCCAATAGAGAGATGAACTGCAATTTGTTGTATCACTCCTTTGTGAGTGTATATTGCATATTGGAGGATAGCATGTCATCTACACCTGCAGAACACCACCGCTCTACTCTGCACTGAATGGTTATAGCCATCTTTGTGTGGTACCAATTCAGGAGGGTGCCTCCACGGTCAACCACCCCAGTGGCTTGGAACTGGAAAATGGTAAGGACTCCCATACTCCACTAGGATAGAGGGGGATTGAGAATGTGGTGGAGAGTCTGGAGGAACATCATCACCTGAGACAGTGTAATGGGTGACCACGAAACCCTATTTTGAAAAGCAGACCATTCCAATTTATTCAATACAAAGCATGGTAGGGATGGGCAGCTATCCCCTTCTGCTTTACTCATGCAGTCCATGAATGGTACAGTCCAGAATGGGCAAGTTTATGAAGCAATTAAATTGCAAGGTTATTCACCAACAACAGTGAGCATTGCAAAGCCATGGAAGATAAAGCACAAGTCAACATGGCTGATCAGTGCAGATTTCAAGTTGAAGAATACCCGGTCAAGCACCACTCATCACAGAGCAAGATCCATATAATGAGTAAATGAAGCAAGGGCCCATGAAAGAAAAGAAAAGTATGAATATAAACTTACCCAGTCAAAGTTGCACTGAAGCCTGAAGAATAGCCACAGGTGGAAGACAAAAACCCAACAAAGAAGAACCACAATATTATAGTGTAAGTAATGGGAGACAAATGCATTAGGTGTAGTCCACATGCCTGAATTGTAGAATTTCCTCCAATGGCCAACAAAGACAAGGTGTGAGGGAAAAGGTGAAATGTTGAATTTGATGAGAAGACACCTGGAACAAATATCTGGAGGAAGAAGACAAGGAGGAATAAGCCAATCGAATCCAAAGTTGAACCGAATTTGTGAGGGTAAAAGGGTAAAAATCCAGAACAGAGGAAGACTGGCAAGGGATAAAGAGTTGGACTAGGTACCACAGAAGGAAGCTGTTCGGGCAATATGACAATGATGAGTATGGACCAGACATTGAAGTCTATCTAGATTGGGATGAGGGTAGAGATGAGAAACAGAAGAAAGGGAAATAGGTAAAAAGGAGAAGATAGGTAGGGTGGTAAATTGTAAGTGAAACATCAATGGCAAACAAATAACATCTTCGATGTCCACAGGCTAAGAGGAGAAAAAAATATGTTGTAAGGGAAAGGTGAAACATGGAACACGAGGAAAGTGGTTAAAACAGAGGTAAAGTGAGGGAACAAGTATGGAAATATTCAAGTATGAAAGAGTAGGCCATCTGGGGGGACAGCGGATACAGAAGGAACACATTAACATGGTAAGGACAGGAGAAGCAAAACCTCAACAATATTGGGAAAAACAAAAAGTATGGGATAAGGCAGCCCGATAACCCGAGAGTAAGAAGACTGAAGACCCCCGGTGAAAGGCCATATGAGAAACTCCACCACTCGAGCCACAGAAGGTCAGTCTGCGGAAAATCCCTGTGTCGCAGAATAACTGCAGAAAACTTTCCATTTGTGCTGATACACCTCCATTCAAGAAGGATGTATGGAATGAGATAAAAGGAAAGTTACTCAATGGGAGAAATCTGATCTTCTCGCCAAGGACTGGATAAAAGCCAGACAAAAGACCAAGGACATGAATGGCTGGATGTAGAACCAGTGACCAAAGTTGATGAAGATGGGAGGGAGACAAAGGAAGAGGTAATGGAGGGAAAAGTTGCTGTTGTTGTAATCGTGGAAACTATGGTTGAACTGGCCAATAAGGAGCGATCAGAAGAACTCGACATGGAGTGGTATAGATGAGAGATATCACCAAATTAAATAATCGAATAGGAAAATAAACATAAAGGAATTTGTGGGACCAATCCTGGTTGAAGGCATCAGAAAACATCCAAAGCCCGAGGATGAGGTACCAGGGACCAAAAGAGGGGTAACTTGTGATTGAGGTATGTGGCAAATGCATCTATGTAGGAAGAACCACTTCGTGAGTATACTAAAGACAACCATGAAACTTGAAATAAACAAAAAGGAACATGTCCGAGCACAAGTGCTGCCAAACGAGAAGTGATGATTCAGTAGAGGCATATAATAGAAGTCACATGCGTCATGTGAGTATGTCTCGCTCCTATTGGTGGAGTAGTGATGCATGATGATCTACATGAGAGACATGTTGGAATCATTCGATTCTAAGAGGGGGGGAGCAGAAGACTTGTGGCATGAATGAATAAACAATTTGCATATAAAGGGCAGCATTGGATGAGAATAGCTAATCTTGTGACTGAAGGGAAGTACCATATCAGAAAGTTTTCTGCTCATTTGGATCATGGTTGATGTGGCCACTGGTCATGTCAGAAAGATGGTTGCTATACATAAGCTTTGGATAAGGTTCAAAACAGTAAGAAACTGATTATTATAATTACACAAGAAAGTATTATAAACCAGTATATGGCTCTAAACAAAGTTCGGTATAAAATGTTAGCACTTGTGTCTGTATAAACTTTGTGAAAATAGTTAATAACAGCTAAACTCTAACCACAAACAAGGCCATATCACAAAAATTAAATTTATATTGAAAAACTATATTTCTTAAATTTTATACAATTGTTTATTTCTGTATCAAAGCATTAAACATAATTTAACAATACTGATGTCACAAAATTTTTACAGCATTATAAGGTAGTAATACTTAAAAATGTATTTAAACAAAGTTAACAAAATTGTTTTAGAAAAATGTAATATTTTTTTATATTGAACTAACCAAACGGATCTTTTGCTACAACTGATTTTTCTGCCATCAAAGGTTCAGATTCTCCTTCAGCATTGACAGCTCTTACTCTGAATCTGTATTCATGTCCTATAATTTCAGTAAGAATAACACAAATGATACATACTTATACCATTCTACCAATCTAAATACTGGAGTTCTGCTGTGGAAATACATTCATACATCTAGATATAATTATAAAAACACTGTAATATAAAACTGGTAAACATTTATCATTTAAAATGCCAAAAAATACTAAAACTATGGATTTGAAAAGCATTATGAAGTATTTAATGTATATTCATGAATAGATTCTAATCAGTTTGTTAATTTCACCTGTCACACCTCAGATGTATTTCAAATAAAACAACTATTTAGTTATCACCTTAAGCATTTATTGAATATTGCTAATGTTTTTACTGGTTACTTTTATACTCTATAAGACCATTAGAAATCATGTAGGAAAATGATATACAAAGTTTCAGACACACCTAGAGTTAAGTTACCCTGTTAGAAATCATGAAGGAAAATGATATACAAAGTTTCAGACACACCTGGATTTAAGTTACCCTGTTAGAAATCATGAAGGAAAATGATATACAAAGTTTCAGACACACCTAGAGTTAAGTTACCCTGTTAGAAATCATGAAGGAAAATGATATACAAAGTTTCAGACACACCTGGATTTAATTTACTCTGTTAGGAATCATGAAAGAAAATGATATAAAAAGTTTCAGACACAACTGGAGTTAAGTTACCCTGTTAGGAATCATGAAAGAAAATGATATAAAAAGTTTCAGAAACACATACAGTTAAGTTATCCTGTTAGAAATCATGCAGGAAAATCATATACAAAATTTCAGACACACCTGGAGTTAAGTTACCCTGTTAGAAATCATGCATGAAAATGGCATACAAAGTTTCATTTATATTAGGTCATCAAGAAATTAATGTCGCTTTTTTTTAGATGAAAAAACCCGAACAACTTATATATCAAAACAAAACAATTATTAAATGAAATAGTGTCCATTCTTATCAATGATACTTTTCTATCTTACAACCCAGGTTGTTAATGCCCTGATTAAAGAAATCACTTGGCTTTGAAACAAAAAACATGTTTATGTCCTCTTTAACACCTTCCACATTTGCATATGTTTACACATTAAGGTGGTGTTGCAGTGAACAAAAAAGATGATAATC